ATGGGGGTGGTGATATTGCAGGTGGTGTTGTTGGTGATGGTGGTGTTGAAAATAGTATGGGTGCTGGTGATGCTGCTGCTCGTGGTGATGGTCCTGCTTATGGTACTGGTCGTGGTGATGTTGATTTCAGTGACTCTGTCGGTACTCCTGGTGAGCCCTCGTTGGTGATGGTTGAAATGTTGCATTTATTTAATAATTTATCAATTTAAAAAAACGACTTCCGTTCGTCTCCTTTATTTATTCTCATGGCAACAATTTCCAATAATTGAAGTGGCTAAATAATGTTTTAAGGAAATGTCAAGGGAGTGGGACAAACAGGAGTTGTGGTCGAGACTTCTTGGAAAGGACTGAAAGGGCCCCAGCACTAATTAGACGAACACTTGGAGGCTCCGGCGTGGAAGAATGTGAACCTCACCAACTGTCCTAGTGTCAGAGAACTAAGATCACAGCAGTGTCATTGTGTCTGAGAACTGGGATCACAGCAGTGTCGTTGTGTCTGAGAACTGGGATCACTGCAGTGTCCTAGTGTCTGAGAACTGGGATCACTGCAGTGTTCTAGTGTCTGAGAACTGGGATCACTGCAGTGTCATTGTGTCTGAGAACTGGGATCACAATAGTGTCAATGTGTCTGAGAACTAAGATCACAGCAGTGTCATTGTGTCTGAGAACTGGGATCACAATAGTGTCGTTGTGTCTGAGAACTAAGATCACTGCAGTGTCATTGTGTCTGAGAACTGAGATCACTGCAGTGTCGTTGTGTCTGAGAACTAAGATCACTGCAGTGTCGTTGTGTCTGAGAACTAAGATCACTGCAGTGTCGTTGTGTCTGAGAACTGGGATCACAGCAGTGTCGTTGTGTCTGAGAACTAAGATCACTGCATTGTCGTTGTGTCTGAGAACTAAGATCACAGCAGTGTCATTGTGTCTGAAAACTGAGATCACAGCAGTGTTGTCATGTCTGAGAACTAAGATCACTGCAGTGTCATTGTGTCTGAGAACTAAGATCACAGCAGTGTCATTGTGTCTGAGAACTAAGATCACTGCAGTGTTGTTGTGTCTGAGAACTGGGATCACTGCAGTGTCATTGTGTCTGAGAACTAAGATCACTGCAGTGTCATTGTGTCTGAGAACTGAGATCACAGCAGTGTCATTGTGTCTGAGAACTGGGATCACAACAGTGTTGTTGTGTCTGAGAACTAAGATCACTGCAGTGTCATTGTGTCTGAGAACTAAGATCACAACAGTGTTGTTGTGTCTGAGAACTAAGATCACTGCAGTGTCATTGTGTCTGAGAACAGGGATCACAATAGTGTCCTAGTGTCTGAGAACTGGGATCACTGCAGTGTCATTGTGTCTGAGAACTGAGATCACTGCAGTGTCGTTGTGTCTGAGAACTGGGATCACAGCAGTGTCGTTGTGTCTGAGAACTGGGATCACAAAAGTGTTGTCGTGTCTGAGAACTAAGATCACAATAGTGTTGTTGTGTCTGAGAACTGGGATCACTGCAGTGTCGTTGTGTCTGAGAACTGGGATCACTGCAGTGGTATTGTGTCTGAGAACTGGGATCACTGCAGTGTCATTGTGTCTGAGAACTGGGATCACAGCAGTTTCATTGTGTCTGAGAACTGGGATCACACCAGTGTCGTTGTGTCTGAAAACTAAGATCACAACAGTGTCATTGTGTCTGAGAACTGAGATCACTGCAGTGTCATTGTGTCTGAGAACTGAGATCACTGCAGTGTCATTGTGTCTGAGAACTGGGATCACAACAGTGTTGTTGTGTCTGAGAACTAAGATCACTCCAGTGTCATTGTGTCTGAGAACTAAGATCACTCCAGTGTCATTGTGTCTGAGAACTGGGATCACAATAGTGTCATTGTGTCTGAGAACTGGGATCACAGCAGTTTCATTGTGTCTGAGAACTGGGATCACTGCAGTGTCATTGTGTCTGAGAACTGGGATCACAACAGTGTTGTTGTGTCTGAGAACTAAGATCACTCCAGTGTCATTGTGTCTGAGAACTGAGATCACTGCAGTGTCATTGTATCTGAGAACTGGGATCACTGCAGTGTCCTAGTGTCTGAGAACTAAGATCACTGCAGTGTCCTAGTGTCTGAGAACAGGGATCACAACGTGTCCTAGTGTCTGAGAACTGGGATCACTGCAGTGTCATTGTGTCTGAGAACTGGGATCACTGCAGTGTCATTGTGTCTGAGAACTAAGATCACAGCAGTGTCATTGTGTCTGAGAACTAAGATCACAGCAGTCTCATTGTGTCTGAGAACTAAGATCACTCCAGAACTAAGATCACTGCAGTGTCATTGTGTCTGAGAATTGAGATCACTGCAGTGTCATTGTGTCTGAGAACTGGGATCACTGCAGTGTCATTGTGTCTGAGAACTAAGATCACAGCAGTGTCATTGTGTCTGAGAACTGAGATCACTGCAGTGTCATTGTGTCTGAGAACTGAGATCACAACAGTGTCATTGTGTCTGAGAACTGAGATCACTGCAGTGTCGTTGTGTCTGAGAACTAAGATCACAGCAGTGTCATTGTGTCTGAGAACTGAGATCACTGCAGTGTCATTGTGTCTGAGAACTGAGGTCACTGCAGTGTCGTTGTGTCTGAGAACTGAGATCACAGCAGTGTTCTGGGTTGGCTCTCTCAAATTATCACCTGACCTACCCCCAACCCCCCTCACTTGTACAAAGTGAGCTGCACGTCACTCAATTACAATAGGCCACGATCTATTTTACTGCTGGAAGAAGCCCTCCCAATGCCATTCTGAGCTGCAATGGCACAATCGGTCTTACTCATGCCCAGGGGCTGATGGCAGCACCCCGCCAATGCGTTGGCCGTCCTGTCGGCACGTTCTCCCCTTTGGCTTCAATCGTGTCACCAGTCTCGTTCTTCCACTATCATCCCGTCCAGCCACATTGTCGTCGCAGATTTCCGCTCGTTCTTTCCGTCTCTCAGTGTTATTCCATCCTTGTTCGTGCGCATTTTCACATTTCTATTTTCTTACAAAACATTAATACATATATTAACATCCAATAATCCTAATATAACCAATGTAACTTCACATAACTCAATATTACGCAACATACTGATTTGCAACAATAATCGGTAGGGCCACTGCGATAGCATCAAACAACGCCTCGCATGGATAACACTCAAAGCTTCACACGGATAGACTCCATCCACACAAAACTCGACCCAAATCCCCCAATGTAACCCTTAACATAATCCTACAAATCCGACACAGACCTCCCCTTATCTGCTGACCTTAACCATGGATGCAACATTACCTCTAACCGCTAGCATCAAAGGAAACACGAACTCCAACCCTTAGTTAGTTGGTTAGTTCTCTTTATCCCCTATGGCACATGAGGCCGCATTGCTGCACTGACATCTCTTGATCACCCCGGACACCCTTGCAAACGAGACTTTTCCATCTCAAGCGACTGTCCAGATGCGAAACATTTTAAACAAGTAATTAACCTCACGGCCCAAATTTCACAGCAATGGATATTCCCAGGCAGTCTCATCAACGTCTTAAGACTCTGTTCCACGGGCACGGCAAGACTTGCCCAGCCAGGATTGTTCACCCGACGACGCTGGGGGGGGGGGGGGGGGCGGGGGGCACGAAGCCTTCTCGAGCACGGCCTCACGGACCGCTAACCCCTCGCCCTGCCAACCGGACATCCTAAAAGTGACGAGCGTCTCTCAGTTCCGTGGTCTGTGCAAGACGACGTGCACCTGTTCAGACTCGCCTTCCCATGAAATCAAAACATTTGATCTTGATTTTGGCGCGCAGTTACAATTGACTTTGCTCAAGTTGGTGTCAGCCGCCGCTGAGGACCTGACGGCTTTCTACTTTCACTCCTATTGCCCCGTGCCCCCCGGTACCGTTCCCGTTCCGCTGTAATGCGCACCGATGCCTACTTTGGTGAGGGCGATATTGGCACGTAAAATACAGGTCGATTGATTGACTAAAACACGAAGCAGGCTCAACCACCTGCTTAGCTGCTGAGATATGACGAGATCACCCGGCAATGTCTCTAGACCCTACCAGGTAGACGCGAGACTTCACCTGTCGAACCCTTGCAATGTGCCACCTCTGTGCTGAGCGTGTCAGCCACCGGATAACTATCTGTCCAGTTATTAATATAATTAAACTTTGAAAACAAACCTCAACTATTGTTTTTATTTTGCTAGGTAAGGCCCACTGAGCTATGTAGCTCTTTTTTCAGAAGCGACCTGGCCACAAATGATTGCTCAACGAAGTGACTTATCGCGTGGAAATTTATAGCAAGCAAATACTCAAAATGCATGTTGATTCTATATGTGGAGGGAAAAATTTGGAGGACGCAGACAAAAAAATTCCACGCGACCACGGGGAGAGAGAGAGACACGCAAACTCCAAATATACAGCAGGCGTCAGGGTCGGGATCGAACCCACGACCTCCTGGATACCAGGCAAGGTAGTTCACATCTCGCTACCGTGTGGTCACTGTAAAATGATCGAAATTATTTGAAATCGATAGAGGGCAGTGACATGGCCGAGCAGGAGCATGTTCGCCGCTCGTTACCGAGGTTCTGGGCTCTAGGCCGTCCTGCTTGATTACTGCGGCCGTATTCACCGCAAATACGTTGCACCGTCTGCTTCACAGTGGACGTTAGAGATCCCGTGACATTAGTAGAAAAATGGTAGGCCACGTGTGTTGTAGTCGCACCCCAAATCATCGCATCCTTTAAGTTTACTTGTCAATTACTTAATTGGGCAACTTCGCCGCTACACACTACTCCGGACTATAATCGTCGCGTGAAACGCGGCAAACCTTTGCGACAGCCTCGCGCTATGAGAATTGCGCGAATGCCAAATGCGCCCGTCGATTCCGTTTCGTTGGATGGCAGCGGAAGACCCGGTGTCGACCCGGGGTCCGGGTGCGGATTGGGCAGCGAGAGAACGTGGGACGATGCAGCGACGGGAAGCTCACCTCCAGGTCGTTGAAGAAGAGATGGGTGTCTGCCAGGTTGAAGATCAGCTCCTCCATGCGCAGCCCCAGGGCCATCGAGGCTGCGTGGTCCTGCGCGAGAGCACGTGGCCCCCGTGGGCGGTCGTTAGCGTGGGGCAGTGTTCTTCATTGCAAGGGCCTTTAGTGAGGCCCCTGACAATACGCAATTGTGCAAGCACCCCTTTGGAGGCGGAGAGGCGGCCCTCACACTGACGTCTTATCGGCGAAAGTGGCTGCTCCTCCCTCTGAAAATGAGCGAAGAACACCACCGTGGTGAAAGCTATGAACGATGTGTCCCGTGAGCCGGCGGCATGGCGCTGACTGCCGTCCCCTCCAGTGAATCTTTGCTCAGTGGGTGTTCGCTCCTTCTCCTTTGCTGCACCCACCATCTGGAATGCTCGTCTCCCGCCCATTCGTGCTGTTGACTCCCTACCGCTGTTCAAGTCAAGGCTCAAGACCTGCCTATTTTCTTCTGTCTGTGAATTTCTCTCTTCTTAAAAAAACAATCCACTTGCGGAAATCTCGCGAATAAGATCCCAACAGAATGTGTGCCGCCAAATTCAGCAAACTGTCCCGCAGCCAATCAGCAGCCAGGGTATGTGCTGAGGAGGCTCCGGGCTGTCGAAAATGAACAATGAGAGTGGTGGGACGATGACGATCACGGAGACGTCACAAGCCACAGAGGGCACACATGTAGTCGGGCTGAAATGGCGTAGCATAAAGCACGGGGATTGTGCACCATGTGGGCAATATGAAGCGTACTCTATGCGTACACACCACTTTGTGTGAATGGGTTGTTGACCCTGCACGAGCCCACCAGCCTACTGACAGTGAGTGATATCTAAAACCCGAACACGCACAAGCTGTCGGCTTCACGAAGACTCACTCGCTCACACACGGAGACCCCCGTAGAGTCTCGTGACCGGTTGGAGGCCAAGTACGGCCAGGAGACGGTGGTGCTGGCCAGCCGCATGCCAGACCACCTTTGCGTCCCCATCGCCGATGTTTACGCACGACATCGGCTGCTCATTTAAGGCTGCGTCCGACCAATGGGGTAACCCAGGAACGGTTCAAATTTCAGTCACCACCGGTGTTGGCCGTGGCCGGAAATCTCACGAGCAGGGGTCGCCGGGTTCGTAGCGCAGCACGGTACCTGCTGCACCACTGCTCGCTACACGCACGCACGCACACACACAAGACAGAGATCTCCCATATGGCCTTAACAAGACTTTTGAGGCGATTGCCATTGGTGAACGCTTACGAACGCCGGCATGGCACACGAGGGGTGTGGGCGGGCCAGCACCACACCAGGTGCTCATTTGAGGCGGAGTCGACTTAGGGGGAGGCCCGCTACCGGATCAGATAATCGTCACTGGTGGTGGCCGCGAGCGGGAATCGAACCCGGGTCGCCCGGGTTTGCAGCGCAGCGCTCTAACCGCAGCGCCACCACTCCCCGCGCGCAAACGCACCCAACTATACAACCACGGTGGCCTCAATCATCTGCCATCGGCAATGAGAACCTAAAGCAATTACGGGTACAATACCCAAGCAGTTTGGGCAGATGGTTCTTTTCAACGGCACGATCAATTAAAAGTGCCTCACATCGCGGCCCGCTGCCGCTGCCGCCGTACAAGTGGTGAACGTGTACGGCAGCGGAGAGCGCGTTTGCGTCACGGCCACTCTCCCGAGAGTGGCCCCCATCGCGCATGGTGGGGGGGGGGGGTGGGGGGGGGGGGTTATCGGCCTTCGGTCGCCACCGGCGCCACCTCCAAACGCCGGTCGGGGTCCATGAGGAGGAGGAGGGGGCCCTGGAATGCTTCTGGCAGCCCTCGTCACGGCTACTCAAGCGGATGGCGGTCGTGGAGGAGGAAATGGGGACCGAACAGCGGAAATTGCTGAGTGTTTTGTGGACGCGGGGGGGGGGGGGGCCGGGGGGCTGTGAGTGAGGGGCGATAGCTGGCGGTGTGGGGGGTGGGTGGGGGGGGTGGAGATGGGAGATGGGCGCCCGTGGTGTCGAGATGTTAACTGCCTCGCCTGGTCTACAGGAGGTCGTGGGTTTGATCCCGACCCCGACGCCTGCTGCTGTATATTTGTCTCTCTCCCCGTGGTAGCGTGGACTTTTCTCCGGGTCCTCCGGTTTTTCCCTTCACATTTAGAAACAACGTCACGCGTTTAGAGTAATTTGGCTGCTGTACATGTCCACGTGACAAGCCACTTCGTTGAGCTGTCATTTGCGGCCAGGTCGCTTCTGAAAAAGACCTATGTAGCTCAGTGGGCCTTACCTGGTAAAATAAAATGAATAAATCATAGTTTATAGATGGGAGAGAGGGGTGGGTGAAAAGGAATGGATACAGTGTTGTGCTGGCGGTGGTGACTGGCACAGTGTGTTGTTAAACAATGCAACCCAGACACTCACTAATATTACGTTTTTTTTTTAAAGGACGTAATGATAAATTAATTAGTTGAAATTGATCCTTATACTCACGACGGATGTATTGAATAGCAGTGTTCAGCATTTATTATTTCCAATTCATGTAGGTGTAGTATAGTTTTTATATCAAATCGCATTCCACAGATGCATAAAAGAATACAATCTACATGCACCACGGTGGAAAAATATATACAGTTCAGAGACCTAATTATGAACCCTGAATTGTAGTAATGGCATTGTTAATAGAGGTTCTTGTGTTAGATTACGTAAATATAAATGTGTCGTTAAACCCGCCACCACCCGACACAGCCAATAAGTAAGGTTTGTCACGTAAAGAAAACAGGGCAATTCGTTACTAGTACAGCACACCGGTGTGTTGGAGAGTAAACCCACAACAATTTACAATTCGAGTACACTAAACATTTATATTTATGCGATCCAACCCCCAAAAACCTCTATTATGGATATTGGTCGTGAAATTCTTTCTGTTAAAATGACATCGTTGTTGATGGGAATTGGTATATCCTACAACTTGTATAAGAACAGTGTCATGTTCTTTGGTTCTTTCGGTAAAGTGACTTTACCGAAAGAACCAAAGAAGATGAATCCTTGCAGTCACGAAAGCTTTAAATCGAAATTTAACAGTGTCATGGTTTTTATTGTAATAGTTACTGGCTGGTAATTTGTCTAACTTGAAAAAATATATCTTCAGTTTGATTTGAGTGTCTAAACAATAATATACAGTATAGTGTCTGCCAACTTTACCAAGTTGCACATATGTACAATATAAAAAAAATGCTCTTTAAATATTTTCTAATATTTTCGTCTCATCAAAATGCAACCCGAAATTTTTTTAGCCCTTCCTCAATCCACTGGTGGATGATGGCCTCCACACCTCGCTGTTAGATATGGATGTTGTACGATGACCATAGTTCACCACGCTGGTCAGTGCAGTCGCTACTGGGGCAGGAGAACCCAGGACCGGTTTGGATATCAATCGCCACCAATGTTGGCCATGGCTAGAAAGTGAACACAGTTTGCCTGCGCTCACAGCGCAGTGTTCACTAACTGCTGCAGCACTGCTCTACCCAGACCTTGAATAATAACAATAATAATAATACCTTGTATGTTCTACATTTGAGGTGTATCGTTCCACGCGAGACGCGTCTCAATGGGCCCTCGCTCTGCCCTTCTGTTAAGCAAACGGATGACTAAGGGAAGAGAGAACACGGGAGAGATGCCAAACGAGCGGCGTGGACAGAGAGAGGACAAGGCGCTACGTAGAGACGTAGAGACGTTGAGAGAGAGAGAGGGAGAAAGGTGGAGAGCTGCACAAGAGACGGACCGTCCTCTGCTGGCTAAATGCGGACCATGTGTGACTTCCTCCAATGGCAGTCGTTTGCCATTGCCCAGCCGGCCTTTGAAACCGACACCGGGCAATTTACACAAATTTGGTAGGAAATGGGTGGCAATATTGGGTTCTGGTATGCGTACATTCCCAAACTGGGAACAGCTTAAATAAATAACAAAATAAAATAAAAATTGTATCAGACCCGTAACCTCTGGGGTCTTCCTACCGCCTTCAAAAGTCATGTTCGTGAGTGTCAGCCGCTCCGGCCGTTGAGGAGGTGCGCATGCTGTTTTGTGAAGTGTGTGTGTTCTCCAGGGGGGATAGCAGCTCATGTGCTGTTAGTTACTTTGTTAACGTGACATAATTGTTAATGGGGTGAACGCATTGCCGGTGAGCAAACGTAATGCAAGTGTGGTAACACAATTCAACATTTTCACGGTCCCAGGCCAGGTTCGGAAAGTTTACACTTGCCTACAAAACAAATCACGCACGCGCGTACACTCCCGTCACACGGTTCTGTGCTGTGCGATGGCGGTGTGCGCTTGTGTGCAGTTTTGTTGGGAGCGAGTGCGCCGTGTGGATGGGAGTGATTGTGCAGCGTGGATGGGAGTGTCCGTCGGTGAAGGCTCGTACCTTCCCGTGCCGAGCTGCAAAGGAGCCTGTGAGCAGCGAGTGAAAGACGATAATGGTCTCATCCAGGTCCCAGATGAACACCCGCTGTGAACGGCATTGCAGAGTCACCACCTCGCGCAACGTTCCACTCGTTACGTAACGAAATGAAACACTTCACGCATGCAGTGGAACCGGGCTTCGAACAGGGGGTAAACGGTTCGCACACCGGATCCATAACCGCAGCGGGCGCAGTTTAGATCTCCCGGCGCGGCAGTTAAAGCAATGGGGCTCAGTTTCTGAAATCCTCCGGCCACGCCCCCATCGCGCCTGTCCAACCCGGCAGCACAGATAGATTCGCACCACAGTTAGTCGATGGGAAGGCCTGTGTGCGGTGGGGTTAAAGTGTGGGCACTCCCACCGATTCCAAATCGTCTGGCCGGGGGGTGTAAGGGTAGGACAAATGCCCTCTTGAGGGGTCCCTCTCTAGAGACCCTCAATTGCCCAGCAAGCAATTAGCAGGGCGGCACCTATACCTTTGAATTATTATACGCGCATATTCCAATCGCAAATGCTGTGTGCGCGTCACTGCATCGCGCGCTTTCAGATGCGCTTCTGTGGCCGTCTGGAATGCTCTTCCTTACGATTGCAAAAAGGCACCGGAGCCATGCGATTTTAATCAATCTAGATGGAAAACTCATTTCCTTGACACTGCCTTTTTGTGTTTAGTTTGTAGTCCTTGCCCCCACACCTCCGATTAGCACGGTCGGCGATGTACGTACGGTGCGAAAGAACTTCAACGTACGCACGTGCATCACGACAAACGATTGCACCCAAGTGATACGAGTTCTTTGTCCTATTTTAAAAAACAAAAACATTTTTTTTTTACAGAGAGGCCGTTTAACATGGGCCCGGGAACTAAGGCGGTGGGGGGGGGGGGGCAGGGGGGGGTGGGCAGGGGGGGGGGGGGGCAGGGGGCGGGGCAGGGAGTGGTCGCTGCCCACCTCCAGGTTGCTGTCCGGCATGGGGCTGGGGTTCTGTTTGCGCCCGCGAACTCGCGAGCGGCCGCTCCCTCCCCGACGCGTGCGCTCGTCCTCGTTGCTGCCACCCCTCGGAGACACCAGCTGCTGCGGCGCGCCCAGCGGAGCTGGGCGCGCGCCACGGACAATCGCCGATCAGGCTGGACGGTTCCGAGTCCGTGTTCTGGTGAATATTATTACCGCTATGTATTATCAGCCTCGGGTCGGAGGGGCACACGGGCTGGTCCTCGCCTCCCGTGGCGGGGCACGCGTGAGGGCCGCCACGGGAGGTAACAACAACAACAACAAGGACCGCGTCCGTTCGCCGCGAAGCGGCGGCGACGTCGCCGCGGCTGCGTGTGCCATGATGCTGGGTGCACTCTGAGGCCACGTGAAGAGTCAGAGGCTCGCTGGCAGGAGGTTCGCGGAACACACCCGACTGCCGCGGGTTGACTGAGATGGCTGGCAGATGCACCAAATGTCGCTCCCCAACGTAGGATAATGATGATGATAATAATAATAGAGGACGACACAAACGCATGAGCACACAGGCTGGTCACACCTCCCATCGTGGGTGCACAAGCTGCTGGATAACTGTGGGCACACAGGTGGGCACACAGGTGGGCACACACGCTGGCAATCACGCTGGCAATCACGCTGGCAATCACGCTGGCACACACGCTGGCACCCACGCTGGCAATCACGCTGGCAATCACGCTGCCACGCAACTGGGGCAAGCAGGCGGGCACCCAGATGGACACACAGCTGGACACGCAGCTGGACACGCAGCCGGACACGCAGCTGGACACGCAGCTGGACACACAGCTGGACACACAGCTGGACACACAGCCGGACACACAGCCGGACACACAGCTGGACACACAGCCGGACACACAGCTGGACACGCAGCCGGACACGCAGCCGGACACGCAGCCGGACACGCAGGCTGCCCTCACCCCCCATGGCGGGCACGGCGCCCGTGTGCTCCTGCGCGTGGTACGGGGTGCTCCCGGAGGCCGAGGATGACGAAGACGTCCCTGCACTTGCGTAGGCCGGGTTGTAGCCCACGCTGGGGTAGTAGCTCTGGTACTGGGTCTGCGGAGCGAAGCCCGCGTAGCCCAACGCCTCCTGAGGGCCACGCACGGAACTCCGCATTGGCGGCCGGGACGCGCGGCTCGCTCGCGTGCACCGTGGTGATGACGTCGGAGTGCCGGAGCCGGAGCAGTCATTGATATTGCGCTCTGTTTTTCTCCTATAAGTTGCGTGTTCCTGAACACCACTGGGTTACGATGAATAATATATAACTCAGGGTGAAGCGCAGTCCGCGATAGCACGCGGCATGCGCACGCAGGCTGAACAAAGACGGAGGCGCGTGGGTAGCATCCAGAAGCATCCAGCAGCATCCCAGTGCCTTGTTGTTGCGGTGCGCTACGCCGAGGCGGCCGTACGACCGCTCATTCCTACTCGCGCGACGTAGCTCCGCTCGCTCGATCGCGTTAGATCCAACCCGCATCAGCGTGATAAAATAATGCGTTCCCCAATACATTCATGGCGTTATGTCCAATACAGCGTAATCAACAAACGGAAAAAAAAACTGTATCCCGCTGGAAACGATCACCGCCTCCCGACGTTCGGGATCGGAAATCGATTCCTAAAACCATGACCAGCTTCCCGATGAACCTTCAGTCACCGAATTAGCAACCGGCACGAGGCACTTGACTTGTCCCTCCTCGGCGAGATATCACGTCCCATGTCCCAACAGTTTGTGGGGCCGTCCGTCGCATTTCCCGTTCGTTAATTGACGGGGGTCAGGTGCGAGGCGTCTGCACAGCGCGCAAGAGTGCACACAATAAACTACCATTGACAGAGGAGGAGCTCCCTCAAGCTCCTCTGTCTCTAGTGGGGGGGGGTGGGTGGAGGTGGGGGGGGGTGGAGGGGGGGTTGTGGAGGTGTGGAGGGGGGTGTGGATGAGGGGGGTGTGGATGAGGGGGGGTGTGGAGGGGGGTGTGGATGTGGGGGGGGGGGGGTGTGGATGAGGCGGGGTGTGGATGAGGGGGGGGGGGTGTGGATGAGGGGGGGGGGTGTGGAGGGGGGTGTGGATGAGGGGGGGGGTGTGGATGAGGGGGGGGGGTGTGGATGAGGGGGGGTGTGGATGAGGCAGGGTGTGCATGAGGGGAGGGGGTGTGGATGAGGCGGGGTGTGGAGAGGGGTGTGGATGAGGGGGGGGGGTGTGGATGAGGGGGGGGGTGTGGATGAGGGGGGGGGGGGGTGGAGGGGGGTGTGGATGAGGGGGGAGGGGGTGCGTCACCTGCTGCGGCGCTGCGCCGTATCCGGCTGAGCCGCTGGAGCAGCCCAGCCCCCCGGAGTAGAGGCTGGATGAGTGCAGGGGGGAGTAGCTGCCTCCTGGGTCGTGCCGGTGGTGTGGGTGGTGTGGGTGGTGTGGGTGGAGTGGGTGGTGTGGGTGGTGTGGGCGGGGGAGAAGAGGAGACACGTGAATAGAACTACAATGTAAAAAAAAAACTAAAATCCCAAGAGCAGGACTACCGCTCACAATGTCACCTCATCATCAACCCTATTCACTGCGTTGTCATGCGCAGCACTCTCTCTCTCTTCTGTATTCTTAAACAAGAGTTGGGGGTGCATCCTATAATCTGTGGGGGTACACCTCGCACACGTACCTTGCACGCTGTAGGGGTACAGCGACTGTGCAGGCTGTGGGGCTGGGTACCCCCCGCAGTATCCGCCGCTTCCCAGGTATCCGCTGTGCGTGGGCGTCTCCGATGCTCCCAGGTCTCCCTCCGCCTTGATGCCTGAGCGCAGCACGCCTCCTGCATGCATAGGTGCGTGCATCCGTGCGCACGTGTGAGTGCGCGTGCGTGAGTGCGTGCGTGGACACGTGCGTGCGTGCGTGTGAGTGAGTGCATCTGTGCGCGGATGTATGAATGTGTGTGCGAGTGCACAAGGGAGTGTCAGTGCAGTGGCTAGCGACCCAGGTTCGACTCCTGCTCACGGCCTCCAGCGTCAGTTACGGTTATATGAACCGGTCCTGGGCCTCTCCTAAGTTGACTTGGTGCGGTGTGCGAACAATGTCACTGGGGAGTCAAAGGCAGTCGGGCGTGGTGCTGGCCACCCACCACCTCGTGTGCTGTGCCAACCTTCATAGGTGCTGCTCGCTAGCAGCACTTGCCTCCAAAACTCTGTGAAGGCTTCACGGGAGATCTTTGTCTTTGTCATGGGGAGCGGCGGTGCCAGGATTAGAGTGCTGTACTTAGAACCCACGGACTCGAGTTCAATTCCGCGCTCACGGCCAACACGAGTGACGATTATCTGAACTGGTCCCTGGGTCTCCCCGAGGCGGACCTCTGCCTAAAATGAGTACGTGGTGCTCGCTAACAGCACTTGCCCATACAGTCTGTTAAGTCTATATGGGGGATCTTTGTGTCTCCAATTGTGCTGGTGGTGGTGATGCTGCTGGTGGTGGTGCTGGTGGCGGTGCTGCTGGTGGCGACGGCCGTGTGGCTGCGCGCGAGTGGCGGTGCGGCGGTGAAGCAGTCACCGTAGGTGTGCAGCTCGTAGGAGGGGTGCTGCAGGTAGGAGGGGTAGGCGCAGGGAGCCCCCGTGGAGGCGTGGTGGCCTTGGCTCGGGTAGGTGGCCATCGCGTGGCCCGTGGGGGCGGCGGGGGCCGCCGACAAGCTGCGTGGGGAACGTCGCAACGGGGCACACCGGGACGTGGGCCAAGGTCTCGGCGGGGCTCAAGCCTCGCCACGTCGGGGCTCGCGCGCCACGGCGGTAAAGACCGTGTCGCGTGCGGAGCGGACGGGCGACGTAATTATAACGAGTGCGGGTGGCCCTGCAATCGCTTGCCCGTGTTGCTACTGCTGCTGTTGCTGCTACTACTGCTGTTGCTGTTGCTGCTACTGCTGCTGTTGCTGCTGCTGTTGTTGCTGCTGTTGCTGCTGCTGTTGCTACTGCTGCTGTTGCTACTGCTGCTGTTGCTGCTGCTGTTGCTGCTGCTACTGCTGCTGTTGCTGCTGCTGCTGTTGCTGCTGTTACTGCTGCTCTTGCTACTGCTGCTGCTGCTGTTGCTGCTGCTGTTGCTACTGCTGCTGTTGCTGCTGCTGCTGTTGCTGCTGCTGTTGCTGCTGCTGCTGTTGCTGCTGCTGTTGCTGCTCCTGCTGTTGCTGCTGCTGTTGCTACTGCTGCTGTTGCTGCTGCTGGTGCTACTGCTGTTGCTGCTGCTGTTGCTGCTGCTGTTGCTACTGCTGCTGTTGCTGCTGCTGCTCCTGCTGTTGCTGCTGCTGTTGCTACTGCTGCTGTTGCTGCTGCTGGTGCTACTGCTGTTGCTGCTGCTGTTGCTGCTGCTGTTGCTACTGCTGCTGTTGCTGCTGCTGTTGCTGCTGCTGTTGCTACTGCTGCTGTTGCTGCTGTTGCTGCTGCTGTTGCTGCTCCTGCTGTTGCAGCCAAATACTGGCAAGGCACTTTTCTCAATGTTGGAGGCAAAAAACGGAGGACCCGGAAAAAATCCACGCGACCAACGGCGAGAGAGACACGCAAACTTTAAATATACAGCAGCAGGTGTCAGGGTCAGGATCGAACCCACGACCTCCTGCATAACCAGGCGAGGTAGTTAACGTCTCCTCGCCACCGTGGCTCCCTGGCGCAGCGTGCGAGCCACCGCTACAACCGACGCGGCGTGACACGCACACACGTACACACGCACACACAACTCACGCACGCACACACACACGCTCACGCACACACGCACTCACGCAGTCACACGCACACACGCACTCACGCACACACGCACTCACACACTCACGCACTCACACACTCACGCACACGCACACACTCACGCACTCACGCACACACGCACTCACGCACTCACGCACACACACACTCACGCACACACGCACTCACACACACACACGCACTTACGCACACACGCACTCACACACTCACGCACTCACACACTCACGCACTCACGCACATACACACTCACGCACACACGCACTCACGCTCACACGTACTCACGCACTCACGCACACACGCACTCACCCACTCACGCACACATGCACTCACGCACTCACGCACACACGCACTCACGCACACACGTACTCACGCACACACGAACTCACGCACACACGCACACACGCACTCACACACACACGCACTCACGCACACACGCACACACGCACTCACGCACACACGCACACACGCACTCACGCACACACGCACACACGCACTCAGGCACTAACGCACATACGCACACACGCACTCAGGCACTCACGCACATACGCACTCACGCACACACGCACTAACGCACTCACGGACACACGTACACACGCACACACGCGAGTGCCGCGATCCCCCCCAGTGGCAGGGGGAAACCAAACCCGGGTTTTGCAGCCAGCAGGTATTCGGTGGGAAAATTGTTGCGAGATTGATTGATTGCGGGGTTGAAGGATTGGGACGGGGATGAGCCGTAATCTTTAAACCATGCAGGCAGGGGCCAGGGGAAGGCATTCCAAAGGGCGCGGAAAACACGCGACCACCCCCCCCCACCACCACACACCTCTGCACCGAGCCCTGCTTTGATGTGAGCGAGTCCACGAGTGGGGTGTTACGCAAGCCGCCAGCCGCAAACGAAAGAGGTGCTTAAGAGGTCAAAGCTAGAGCCGCTACCGAATGGCGGAAGGTGCAAAGGACACGACAGAATTCACAGGCCATGTCGCTCAATCCAGCTTACATTTTTAGTTTTAGCGGTGGCGGTGTCGGTGGCGGCTGCGTCGTTCTGTTTGAATAAAGTGGCGTGGTGCACGGTGCCATGAAAACCAAAAAAAACTAAAAGTGTCCAAAAAAGTGAGCAGGCCAAAAATGTGGCAATTGATTGATTGATTGATTGCGGGGGGGCAAAGAGTTTGGGGTAGAGCACATCCCAGCTGAATAGCCATCCAATCATGACTATTGATCCTAACCAACTAGCCACCCAGTCACTAGTGCTAGACCTGCCAGTGACTCTAACCACCTAGCCACCCAGCTTCAATACTAGCCCTTCCATTGACTAACCACCCAGCCACCCAGCCTCTAATACGAGCCCTCCAAGTGACAACAACACTAACCTGTCTTCCGGCATTTCACCAGGCTCGTGGTGGTGTCTGCACAGGGGTCAGTGTACCGCGCTACATCCCTGCTGACCCGAGTGCAAATCCTGTCCACGGAAATCACGAGTTAATCCTGACCTGAGTGTCCCCTGTGTCGACTCGACCTCGAACCTTCTTTATCCGGGGCAACGTGAACACAGGCGTGTACGGATTAGCCAAACGACGCACACTCATGTGGTGCACGCTGACCCAAAATAGCTTCTCGTGAATACTCGACCCCACTGTCAAATCAGGCCAAGTGGGGTATCCTCGTTTCTTGATTAATTAACGTCGATGTTCTAGTGACACACAATGTTTGCGAATATAAAAAATGAAAACCTGGTTAAAGGATCTGTTGGATTAGCGAGTGAACGGAACGCACTCTATTTATAGAAAACAGATGATACATTTTTACAGCTTATGATGAAATCCCAAACCATTTTTGAGCGTAACACATTAGACAATTTTCCATGGGTGAAAACGAGCTCACGTATCTTGTTCAAAAGCATGCACAGGGGGAAGCTGATGATGACTTTCATTAACTCGGGTCCAGTGGCATGATGTCACTGGGGAGATACAGGAGCAGATGAACCCACAATAGAATACATCTCAGAAAAAAAAAAACTCTTTGAGCAATAAAAAAGGGCAGGACTGCGAGGATGATCGGCAAAGTCCGGTCATCCTCGCAGCAGCAGCGGCGGCTTCTAGCTGGGCCATCGAACAAAGACAGTGGTTCGCCGCTTCGCGCGCTTTCAGATGCGCTTCTGCGGCCGTCTGGAACGCTCTTCCCGCACGATATTAGGAAGCCACCGGAGCTATGCGCTGTTAAATCTAGATTGAAAAAAAAAGCAATTTCTTTACAACTGCTTTATGTGTCAAGTTTATTGTCCTTCCCCCGCGCCTCCGATTGGCACGGGTGGCTATTTACGGCGCGGAAGAAGTTCAACGTACGTAACACACAAGATACATACACGCGTAAAAAAACATACGTACACGTGCATCGGTTAATTGTGAAATGAGATGAAGCACTCACTTGGGTGGGTAGAGCGCGGGAGTGTAATGGTTGTGCGATGGGGCGCAGTCGTAAACTTCACAGGCAGCTGAAGCAAACAAAATGCATTCGCGCCGTTAAGACACGGGCTTCTCTCGTGCACCTTACACAGCAAGAACATCGGAGCCATGAACGTGTTGGATTGCAATCATCGCATTCTTCTTTTGCGTCGGCGTGTCTGGGCAATTTCGTTTAACGAATGGAGTTGCATTTCTGTCCGCCTGATTGAAGCTTGTTGGAATTACTGGCGAAACGTCGTGCTCAAGAATGTAAACGCAGTGGCTTTGCTCTCCAACACGCCTGTGAGTGCTGTACTTGCCATGTTCTGTCGAGGTAAGAAGGCTTACTAATTGGCTGTGTCGGGTGGTGTCGGGTTTTACGACACATTTATATATTTACGCAATCTAACCCCGAAAGGCCTGTATTATGGATGTTTTACTATTGTTAGGTGGTTACCGGTACCTGTCAACGTCATCGTCTCCACTGCATTTGTTTTAGCAAAAGTTCCCCTTTAAAACGGTGGTCGAATTCCATTCGTCCATTGTATGGGAACTATTGCTCGGGAGTATGTCGAGACTCAAAAATCCTACGCGCGATTCAATACGAGATGCAATCACACGGCTTGACTTGAAGCGAACACGAATCGTTTGATGGCTTCTCGTGACTCCTAAAATCATATTTACGAGTAAAATATTCATCATAATTTCACAAATATGAAATATTATGACTTACGTTGCAGACAAACCGCGCGCCTTGTGATCGGGAGAACACGGTATTGTTGCGGACGGCCAGCGTCCAGAAGATGACAATCGAAGCGCTGCTCTCAAATGGGTAGGGACGTAATCGGAATACATTCTATCCTCTGGGTGACCGCGTAACGTTACGGAGAACCGTCTTCTCGGGAAGGTGATTCCGACCAACGAGATGAAAACACATCTTCCCTGAGACGAGATGCATTCTCTGCATCACGAGACTCACCCGCGAATGTTTGCTGCTACACTTGGGGGGGGGGGGGTGGGGTGGGGGGGGGAGGGGGAACGAGCGCGTCTCACAATCCGGAGAATACGGCGATCGTCAACTTTTCGCAACGACTGATGTAGCAACAGCGAGACCGGCTGCACGAGCGAATTCACAAGGCCGAAGCCGAGGCGACCGAGTCTGTCCCCGCAAGGGGTTACGTAGCGAGAGCCTCGCGCCCGCGCGCGTTAATTTGCGCGCGTTCCGCTCACTTATTTTCGGAATGCGCCGCTTCTCGAGCGCCTGCCCGTACACGCACGCGCTCGGCGCAAGACGCAGAAGGAGCCACTCGGTGAAAGAAAGAAAAAAAGACGCCGGCGCTCCCCCCCCTCCCCCCGCGCCGGCCTCGCCGGCGGTGGGCCGACGTCAGGCGCGACGCTCGGGCGATGGGCGTCGATGACGATCTACGTCAGTGGCGCGTCAACGCCGCCGGGTGTCGAGAGCGGGAGGCCATGGGGGGCGACCGCGGGCGTGCCACTCGCAGAGGGGGCCCCGGGCTGTCATCCGAGTGCGCCCCGCGAAAATTCGCAAGGCGAGCTAAACACATTTTCTTTTTTTTTTGTTTTAAATCAGGCAAGGGCCCACTGAGCTGTACAGCACATTGTGTAGAAGCGACCTGGCCACCACGAATGATAGCTCAAACGAAGCGGCGCGTCGCGTGGGAATTAATCGCAGCCAAATGCTCCGAACGCACGTCGATTCCAAACGTGGAGGAAGGGGGAATCCGGACGGACCCGGACAAAAATCCGCGCGACCACGGGGAGAACACGCAAACGCCACATACACGGGCAATCGTTGGGCGATTATCGTCCGGCAGGCCTCGCATCCCTTCACAAAACACAACGCATTCGTCAAAGAAAGACGACGTCTTTAATTTAGGGCAATCTTTGATTTGAAGCTTTCGTGATTGCAGGAATCCATACTCTTTGGTTCTTTCGGTGAAGTCACGTGGGTAGACAAAAATATATCACGACGTTTCGATCGCAACAAAAGCGACCGTCTTGCTGTTTCGATCGAAAACGTCGTGATATATAATTTTTTCTACCCACGTGACTTTACCGAAAGAACCAAAGAGTGTTTAGGGCAATGCCACTTCTGCATAGCAGAGAGACGACTTTGCCAGTATCCGCATGGTGCAGACTGGATAACCACCAGATATAGTTGGTGAGGCAGACGTGTAGTACATACGCATGTTGAACTTCTTTCGCACCCTACGTAGCCAACCGTGCTAATCGGTGGCGCGGGCACAGTTTAAGCGTCACAGGCGTGCGCTCATTCTCAATTGTTGTTGTGTTTATCGCCCATAGCTCCATGGGTTTGCCTGGCCCGGTGGCTCAGTGGTCGAGCAAGCAGCTCACAATTTGAAGGTTGCCAGTTCAACTCCGTGGTTGGGGATTTACCTGGCCCATTATCCCTCCGGGTTTCGATAAGATAGGTACCACCTTGTGTGGAGGTCGACAGTGGCTGTCATATGGATAGACTCGCACTCGGCATAGGAAAGTGGAATTTCCATCAATGGCTCAGGACTGTAAATGGGAGATTGGCACCACCTCCATGCTTATTCGAGCTGGAAACCACTCTATGTTATTGAACATCATGTTTGGTTTGCAGTCACTTCCTATCTGAGTAATCATCTCAAGTACTCATTTATCCTTGTGCCCTGGACATGTACTACATGGAGGCTGCAGTCTAAATAACAACACCTGTCAAACCTTTATCGGTCCCTACCTTATTATAGACCAATCCAGACCTTATTGGTGAACCCCCTGCCCCTTATAAACTGCAACGTTCATCCTACAAAGTCCCATCACAAGGGAGAAGTACAAATAGACAAAAAATATGTTTATGCCCGTATTGAAACGGCTGTACGCCGTATGGACCTGAAAACTCAATTTCCCTGTACAATAATACGGGGTAAACCGCATGGGTTGACAGCTGTGTAATAAATGATGATGAGGACGATGATGATGGGGTGGAATGATTAATCCCCCAAAGATTCAATGAATTGTCAAGATTCTGGATTGTAATTCGATTGAAGTCAATGTTATTGCTTAACATTCCAACACAATTCCAGTCCCTAAGGATTTGTTATTAAGCGGAAACATTTTTCCACTAATGTTTTACATTTCTTTAGCGATTTCTGGTGATTGTGATTTTTTTTCTTCAGCCACCATCATCATGATGATCGCCCATGGTTAATCCACTGCTGGATGAATGCCTCTCCAAGCTGGGACTGCCCCTCATGATCTTGCAATGTTAAGAATACGCCTAGAACTGATCACAGAGAGTGATTCCAGATAATTGATGTTTTCTTTCCGTTCGTATATGTTGTATGGAATGGGTTCAAGTGATTCCTCCAGCCACTTGAGGTTGCTATATTTCGCACAATGTGGCCGAAGTGACGGCGACTTGGCCGAGGAGGCATTCGTCCAGCAGTGACCACGGCGAACACATCACAATTTCCGAATCAATCACGATACCGCATTCAACCACACGGACGCTATGCGTAACACGCGCCTGTTAACCAGTGTCGGATTAAGCTAGTGCGGGGCCTGTAGCATCATGTTATAAAGGGGCCCTAAATAAAAAAAACACGTAAATATTAAAAGAAAATATTCACTTGCATAGTAAAGTAATTTTATTTTTTCATTTCCTATAAAGCCAGATAATACGACAAATCGCTAACCTTAAACACCCAGTCGTTCATAGAAGTTGAAGGCAGTATAGTACTATAGTGATAGAGCAAGTGCAGAAGCACTGAACCAGAATTGATTGCTTGAAAGTATTCAGCGCGGGGCCCGTAGCATACGCTAAGAGGATAATCCGGCACTGCTGTTCACACGTGTGCAACACATGATTGTGACGCATGAATGTGACGGCTAGTGGGTTGTGGTTGGTGGGACAGCGCAGGGTGCTGCGTGAGATCTCGCAGCAGAGTGCTGCGTGAGATCTCACAGCAGATTGCTGCGTGAGATCTCGCAGCAGAGTGCCGCGTGAGATCTCGCAGCAGAGTGCTGCGTGATATCTCAAAGCAGAGTGCTGCGTGAGATCTCGCAGCAGAGTGCCGCGTGAGATCTCGCAGCAGAGTGCCGCGTGAGATCTCGCAGCAGAGTTCTGCTGTGAGATCTCGCAGCAGAGTGCCGCGTGAGATCTCACAGCAGAACTCTGCTGTGAGATCTCACAGCAGAGTGCCGCGTGAGATCTCACAGCAGAACTCTGCTGTGAGATCTCACAGCAGAGTGCCGCATGAGATCTCACAGCAGAACTCTGCTGTGAGATCTCACAGCAGAGTGCCGCATGAGATCTCACAGCAGAACTCTGCTGTGAGATCTCACAGCAGAGTGCCGCGTGAGATCTCACAGCAGAACTCTGCTGTGAGATCTCACAGCAGAGTGCCGCATGAGATCTCACAGCAGAGTTCTGCTGTGACATCTCACAGCAGATTGCCACGTGAGATCTCACAGCAGAGTTCTGCTGTGAGATCTCACAGCAGATTGCCGCGTGAGATCTCACAGCAGAACTCTGCTGTGACATCTCATAGCAGATTGCCGCGTGAGATCTCACAGCAGAGTGCCGCGTGAGATCTCGCAGCAGATTGCCGCGTGAGATCTCACAGCAGAGTGCTGCTGTGATATCTCGCAGCAGAGTCCTGCGTGAGATCTCACAGCAGAGTCCTGCGTGAGATATCACAGCAGAGCTTGTGGGGGGGGGGGGGGTAATCGCGGGACCGTGCCACGGAGCTCACAAAGTCTCACGTTTGGTGGAGGTGGAAAAGGTGGCGGTGGTGGTGTGGTAGTGGCCCCACCCCCCTTCAGAGTGGGAACAGAAGCTGGGTAGGGGAAGGGGGAGGGAGGCGTGGGGGGGGGGGGGGCTGGGGAGAGGCGAGGGATGCCTGGGGGGCGGGAGGCCTGGGGGGGGGCGAGGGAGGCCTGGGGGGAGGCCGGGGTGGGGGGGCAGGGAGGCTGGGGTGGGGAGGAATGGGGGGGGGGCGAGGTTAGGTTTGGGGGGGGGACGAAGGGAGGCCTAGGTGGA